TGTGTGTGTGTGTGTATGTGTGACACAGATGTTTTATTTCAATGTAATTTTCATGCAAGGCTTCATTTTGTGTTAGAGAACTGGCCCAGGGTCTTTCTGACTTGGTTTCAAGTCTTGCCTCAAATACTCACTGAATGACCCTGGGCAAGGCACAACCTCTCAGTGCTCTGGGCAACTCTAAAACTCTCCAAGTTGCAGAGAAAGTGCCAACCTGCATTGGTGGATGCAGTTTCCTCACTCAGGAATTTCCCATACATATCAGTGAAATCGCAGGTTTAGTTCCAGTTCCTTAAATTTACATCCTTAATTTATCCAGTAACCCTTGTGTTTACCATGAGGTCACTGCTCTTTCTCTTACTCTCACCTCATCTATTACTTCATCTTCAACAATTTAACATCAGTTCCTGTTCCTTCCCTTATTTTCTCCCCTAATTCCCTGCCCTCTTCCAATCCTGAGGGTCTTTGTCCAACCTGGTGAAATCTAATTAGGAAATCTCTGCATTATTTCGATTATGTCTCCTGGGAGAGATGTCTGATCTGCAGGCTTTGCAGAAATAGTCTCTTTAACTTGAGTCTCTCAAGCTTCGTACCCTCCTGGTTATCAGCACAAATCCTGGTAAGTGAAAAAGCAGTTTCAAAAGAATTGTTGAAACAATTTCTTTTGAGTTGTGCCCAAACTGAGGCCTGCTAAATTGACAAGACATGGTGGATATAACGCTGGATTGGGAGTCAGGTTCTAGATTCTGGTCCTGGATTTAGCACTTACTAGCTTGTGACGGAAAATCTCTCTGAGCATCATTTTCCTTTTCTATAAAATGAGAGAGTTAGACTTATGAGGGGATCCATGAATTCCTTTCTGTGAATGTACTGGACTCCTGAATAGCTACTGAGAAATAAAGGGGAAAGCCTCCTACGTCTGGATAGCACGTACTAACACCCTCCTTCAAATGCCTTTCCAGGCCATGCGTGGAAAAGGACGCAGGCCATAAATGAGGTGCCCTTGCAAAGTACCTTCAAGGGAGAACTCTTAAAATACTTTCAGGCATTTTCCCAAGCTGGGCGGAAGGAAAGGGAGTCGGGTAGAGCAGTGGGTACAGAGATCAGAAGTCGAATTAGTCCCTAAACATTGTGACCGAGAGAATTGTCTGGCCTGCTTTTCTAGAACTGGTTAAGAGATGGGAAGGAAACTTCAGTAACTCCTTTAATTCTTCTTAGCTCAGCCCTAGAGGGAACACAGCTTCCCATCTCATCTCCCAGCTACTAACAGTTTCCTGCCAACTTGACAGGGTCCTCTCAGGCCAGCACAGCTGGGACAGTGCCTGGGCTGCCCAGGTGAAGAACTGGCCGAGGAGCTTGTGTGGGCTAGCTGAGATCCCAGGCCCAGAGCCAGACTTCCTCCTCTCATTAAGACAAGGAGGGAGCAAGCGCTGGGATGACTCCCTCAATTCCCTGGCCACTGACGTTTTCCCCCTGTTTCCTGTTCTGAGCAGGCCAAGCACCTCTGATCTGCCTCTTGGGTCAAAAGGTCAGACTTCAGGGTCACTGAGACTTTTTTTTTTTACTTTAAATGTCAGAGGAAATCACTCCCTGGAGTCCCCAGACCCCTGAGGACTCTGCTGAGGAATTGAAAAGGGCAGATTCCTGGCGGGCCCTTTGTCCTGCTACCCCACTTTTGATCTTTGTAGTGGGAGGGCCCAGGGCTTTCCCTACCCTCTCTTCCACTTCCAGGCCTGTTAAAGGGGCCGTAGCCCTCACTGGCTGGAGTCAGCGTCTTGGAAGAGCGATACCTCCAGCAGAAATTCATGTTGCAGTTCAAATCCTCCTCCTCAACTAGCCTTTAAGAAACAGATTTGTCCAGGATCTTTGTCTTTTTTGAGGTTGGGGAGAGAAGAAGGTAACAGAGAAGAGATGACAAGAGATAGGGACTAAGTCACTTTAAATTTAAGATTCAAATATACTAAATCAGTCATAAAACAGCCTGCTATACTCTTGGAAGGGGTTGAGATGCTATCTTTGTATATACTAATATTATGAACTTAGTACAGAAACATTCGAAAGATGGACTCCTGAATATTAACCACTATAGAAAGCCCACATATTTCAGGAGAAAGAGGTGCTCGAGTGGACGTTGAAGAGCAAGATTACAGTCTCCACTCCGCTACCAACTCCCTGTGTGCTGTTGGACCAGTTACTTCCCATCTTTGGGCCTCAATTTCCTCATCTCTAAAATGGAGAGGATTGCATCTAGGTGGTGCAGTGGACAGAGCACCGGCCATGAAGTCAGGAGGACCTGAGTTCAAATCTGGCCTCAGACCAAACACTTGACACTTACTAGCTGTGTGACCCTGGGCAAGTCACTTAACCGCAATTGCCTCACTAAAAAAATTAATTAATTAATTAATTTAATTAAATGGAGAGGATTACACCAGATGGCCTTGGTGGCCCCTCTCCTGCTAAAGTTTTTCAGTCCTAGGACTCTTTGTTCTTTCTTTGACAGTTTCCCCCACCAAAAGTATAGCTGGGAGATCATCAAAAATTGGAAGAGTCTAGAATGGGGGTAGGGGATTTGGTTCTTTCTGGAAATAAGAAATAGTTTGTTCTTTTCTTACAGCTAGTGTTAAATTTACCTGTTTTGCCTGGATAGTAACCAGGTGTAGGAACAAGTTTTCCTTGGGTTTCTGTCTTTTTTTTTTTTTCCCACTAGAAAGTGTTCTGAATCTGCCGTTGAAAGGGCTTTGGGTTGTATGATCTTGAACAAGTCCCTTTCCTGGAGCCCCATTTTCCTCAAACCCCTCTCTAAATCTGTCCTATGCACACTATTACGTTTTTGAGCCCCCTGCTATTTAACTACTTATTAGGTGCTGAGAGTTTAGGATTGGATCCCCAGACTCTTATCAAGGAGATAAAGCATCTGGCAGAGCAAACAATGCCATGCTATGGATGATAAGAACTTGAATGGTAAGTACAGACAAATGTTGTAAAAGTTTAAAAGATAAGAGATCCCTGGTTTGAGATGGGTCAGGAAAGGCTTTGCAGGCCCTTGCAAGATAGTTAGAATTCTGGGTAAATGATAAGTAATATAAATTAAGAACCACCAAAATCTGGTCACTGAACGCATTCACAATATTCTGGTGAAAATATACAGATATCCTGTTTATCTGGTAGCAAAATCAGGCTTTAAAATTTGATTTGATGTGAGGAGACCTGGATTTTCGTTCCAGCCCTGGAATTATTGATATGTGACCTGGGTGGAGACACAGAACATGGGAAATAGAGCATTAGACCTAAGTTCTAATCTTGGTTCTATTATTAAGTGTGTGACCTTGGCTTGGTCTCCTGACTTCCCTGGGCCTGTTTCCTCATTTGTAAACCATGAGCGTTGGACTAGACTAATTTCCAAGGGCCCCCCCCCCCCCCCCGACCTCCCCCCCAAGCTCTGAGTATATTGTGATCTTCCTGCCTTATTTTCCGTCGGTAAAATGATGCTTGCCAATTGACACCCTGAAGAGCCATTAACAAAGATAAAACATGGATTTGGAAAGCATTCTAGGCAGGGCGGCGAGGAAATGAAACTAACCCAAATGGACCTTGGAAGATTAGGTGGGATAGAGCTGGTCTGTGGAGCTTCTTGAGGCCTGAGCAGATGAACTTTCTGAATCCTAGAGTATCACACCTTGACCTAGCCCAATCCCCTTCTCAAATCAAGGCAGTGCTGTATAGAGGGAACTCGAATATGAATTTACAACCCAGCGTTCTTCACTCGTGTGTGTTTTTCTGCTCGTTGGGGGTGGCACTGACCAATGATCTATATACCTTCCTTGAAAATAGATATTCCCTTTCTCCTGGCTCCCATTCTTATCCCCTGGTAGAAGCCTTGATTTCCCTAATTGACCTGCCAAGACAGAGTTAGTCTGAGGTTAGTGGCGCTTCCATTCCCAAAGCCCAGACTCAGATTACAACTGCCCCCTCCCACGTCCTTCCTCTCTCTCTCTCTCTCTCTTGAGCTGGGGATGGGCCTCTCCCCTTCCCCCTAGGACTCGTCTCCTAACCACACTTGTCTCCCCCTCTCCCAGTCAGTCTGTTCAACAGTTCCCCAGACTGGTGGCTGCACCTCCCTCTCCCCGCCCCACCCCCATTCTCCTTTCACTGCCCTGGCCAGCCCCTGGGAGCCACTGAGGGCTGTTTGGGAACAAGCCTGAGGAGGCTGGGGAGGGGCCGGGAACCACATGGACTGATTCATTCAGAAGCAGGAGATGCCCTGGGTTCTGTCCTGCCTTCTTAGCCCTGTCTCAAGAACACTGGCCCACAGCCTCTCCCCAATGGATCTTAACGCGCTAAAACATTCCACCCCAGGAAGACCCAGCATCTAATGCAGTCACTGGCTTCAGGTAGATCCAGGGAACAGGGAGGAGATTGTGAAGCCAGTGAATTTAGGCAAAGACAGTCCAGTTACTAGAGAAGAGGTATAAACAGCCACTGGGAAAAGACTGTCTGGAGCACAGGGGAAGAGAGAAACCACAAGAAGAGCGAGCTATTCGGGACAAGGAAGCAAGCCAAGGGCCCCCAGAGTGTGGATGCCTGCAGGGAGAGTGGAGCCAAGGAGCTGGAGGTGCTGGGGGGAGTGCTGAGGGAAGGCCCAGGCTATGATCCTCATGCCGGCCCTGCTGCTGATCCTGACCCTGCTCTCAGGGCTAGCTAATGGAGCCAGCCTCAAGCCTGAACCAATGAGCCACCTAGGTGTGTGCCCCAACCAGCTCAACCCCAACCTCTGGGTGGATGCCCAGAGCACCTGTGAGAGAGAATGCCATGTGGATCAGGTGAGAACTGGGAGGCTGAGGTGGGGGAGATTATTTTAAGAGCATTTGGGACCCTTCCCACAGTACTTGGGGTATGCTTTAAGCAAGAGTTTCTCCTAAGGCTGGTGTTCTTGAATTGCTAAAGAGGAGTCACTTTTTTCTTTCTTGCCTCAATTTATCTGTCTACAACAGATAGCATAGTCCATCCAGATCAATGCCAAGTAACTATAGCACTCTCTAGCCAGAACCCTAAGCAGTGATCTTTATTCAAGATTCCACATCCATCTGTCCCAAACAGTCCCCTACCACCCAACCACCACCAAGAAAAAGGCCATCCAAAGGTAATTTAAAAAAAACAAAACAAAAAACTCCAGTCTTTGAAAATTCCAGAATCAAGGAACCAGGGAAGTACAGAGTAGATTATTTTTTTTTTCCCTACAAGTTCCTGAAGATGTCATTTGCAATCTTTCCTTCCCATTGCATCCCTAAATGGATTTTTGTATGGCATCTGTCTCTGTCTAGGGTTCTAACCCGGCACCCATGAAATTGTTTTGTTAATTGTTCGATAACTTTTTCAATATACTTGGTTCCCTTTGTAGTCCTATGTATTTTATTTTATGCATTCCAAGAAGGGGTCCATTGGCTTCACCGGACTGCGGAAGTCCCAGACTCAAAAAAGATTAAGAACCCCCTGGTCTAGTCCATTCTCCAGCACTCCCAGATAAATAAAGGATGTTCTTCTACTTTCCCAGGAGGAGACCCTTCTGCCCCACCTTCAGTCCTCCTTTACCATGGTGTCCTTGTATTTCCCAACCCTGAAAAGCTTGGAAGTTCTTCCCAGTGTCTGACTCGACTTTCCTGCTGCTGTTTCAGCCATTCCCTTTTGAATCAGACCCAGAGTGTGCAGCGGCAGATTCCTTTCTGCTATCTTTACATTATTCCTTCTTCATCTGCTGGAGCATTGTAATTGTGTGCCCACTGCATCTCAGCCTTCTCTAAGCTGAAGCAACTCAGCTTCTAGAGCCCTAAGTCATATTCCCCACCCCTCCTGATGGGGGGGGAATCTGGACCCCTAAAAGGAAAGGCCCTTGAACTTTCCCACAAATTTTGGGAGGGAGGGCCCTAAAATTTGTGGGAAAGTTCAAGGGCCTTTCCTTTTAGGGGTTCAGATCCCCCCATCACTTCCACCTTCGCCTCTGTGAGCAGCATGCCAAACTGGACACAGATCCCTGTGATAAGGGCCTTTTACCAACCCTGAAGTCAGGACAGCCTTAATTGCCTCGTGCTCCCATGTCCTAGATCCTAATTTATACACCATGCCAGAACTAAGGGAGAGCAAAGTTCGCCAAAAAACGTAGAGCATAACATGGGGGGAGGAGTAGTGGGAGGCAATGAGAGGTTTAAAAAAAAATATGACTTTTATAAATACACATTTTTAATGCCAAAAAAATTCTGCTCTCTATGCCACACAGTGATTTATTTTGTGGTGAGTCAAGTTGGCTGTGTTAAAAATGAAGGTTCAAAGATAGAGACAGGGAAAAGACGAAGACGTGGGGCTAGGCCTACAGTGATCAAACCTAGGATTTCTCAAGTGGCCATGTGGCTTTAAGGAAAGGGGGAGGGGTTATATTACTTATGTACTTTGTCTTAGAGGTCATGCTAAGCCACAGACCATTTTTCTAAAGCCACAATTTACAGCTGTGCAGTCTTGTCTTTCCTTATTCTCTTCAAATTTGCCCAGGCTTCCTAATTTTCTGGGGTTTATTAACATTTTTATCCTACTTTCTAAGTCACAAGACATCACTCCATTAACTTGGCATTACTAACTAACAAACTTCCTGTGTTCAAGTCCTTTTTGAAAATAGCAACCAGCCCCCAGCCTAGGGGCATGTAGTCTGTGGACCCAGTAGGTAATACTACTACCTTACATTAGCAGACTTTCACATCCAAAGTGCTTTCCCATCCCACTGCTCCTCCAGCTATCCCATTAGGTGGGTACAGTTGGGATTATTATACTTCTTTTACAGAAAAGGAAACTGAGGCTGAAGAGGAATCAAGTGATTTTTCCATAGTTTTATAGCTAATTAGTGGTGGAGTCAAGGGTTTAAAATTGAAGTAGTTTGCACTGAATGAGCTCCAAATTAGTCCCAGCAGGAGTCAAGCACTACTCGCTGACCTTGGCTAAACTACTTCCTCTCTCCAGGTCTCAATTTCCTCTTCTATAAGATGACCAGGTGGGGCTCCATGGTCTGTAGGATCCGTTTTGCTCTGATGTTCTGTGATTCTCTCCCCAACATCCCAACAGGGAAACAGACACAGAGAAAGACAGTGATTCTCCCAAGAGCACAGCACACTTGCACAAAAGACCACAATATCTTCTGCAGACATATAGGGCATGTTTACTGAGGGTGCCAGAGAGAAAAGGGATGTCTAGGGCACTTCTCCTACAATAGACCTGGCCAGAACTGGGCCTGGGTTTTTGAACAAGACACAGAGCAAAGGGGTGGTAGATGGGAAGTGGGAGGGTGAGGAAAGGAGGCCTGAGGCTTTCACCTGGCCCTAATCCTCTCCTCTCCCCTCCTTCCCAGGACTGCAGTGATTTTGAAAAGTGCTGCACCAATGTGTGTGGGCTGCGGAGCTGTGTGGCAGCTCGCTTTGCAGAGGGTGGCTCGGCAGCTCCGGCACCGGCTGCCTCCTGCGAAAGCTTTGTCTGCCCCCAGCAGGGCTCTGACTGTGATATCTGGGATGGCCAGCCCGTGTGCAAGTGCCGGGACCGCTGTGAGAAGGAGCCCAATTTCACCTGTGCGTCGGACGGCCTCACTTACTACAATCGCTGCTACATGGATGCTGAGGCTTGCCTTCGGGGCCTCCGGCTCAGCGTGGTGCCCTGCAAGTACGTCTTCAGCTGGCCCCACACCAGCCCTGGGCCTCCTGAGACCACCGCACCCCCCACGCCTGGGGCAGCCCCTGACATCCCCATCCCGCCAGCCCTCTACAGTAACCCCTTCCACCAGTCAGTCTATGCCGGGGGCACAGCCAGCTTCCACTGTGATGTCAGTGGCCGCCCACCTCCTGACATCACCTGGGAGAAGCAGAGCGATCAGCGGGAGAACTTCATCATGAGGCCTGACCAGATGTATGGCAATGTGGTGGTCACCAACATTGGCCAGCTGGTGGTCTATAACGCACGGCCTGAGGATGCTGGGCTCTATACCTGCACCGCCCGTAACGCAGCCGGCCTCCTCCGAGCCGACTTCCCCCTTTCTGTCATCCAGCGGGAGCCCCCGGGAGGGGAGCTGCCTGTCCCCAGCCCACCACCCCCGGCTCCAATGGAGTGTCTGAAGGAACCGGACCGTCAAGCCTGCCAGGGCACCAGCAGCCGAGTACGATGGCACTTTGATGCCAAAAGGGGTGGGTGTACCACCTTTCAAGACAATGGCTGTGATGTGGGCAATGGCAACCGATTTGAGACCTATGAGGCTTGCCAACAAGCCTGTGGTCGGGGCCCTGGCGATGCCTGCATCCTGCCTGCTGTGCAAGGCCCTTGCCGAAGCTGGGAGGCTCGCTGGGCCTATAGCCCGCTACTTAAACAGTGCCATTCATTTGTGTATGGGGGCTGTGAAGGCAATGCCAACAACTTTGAAAGCCAGGAGAGCTGCGAGGATGCGTGCCCTTTCCCCCGGACACTACCCTGCAAGGCCTGCAGGCTCAAAAGCAAGATGGCACTGAGTCTGTGCCGCAGTGACTTCGCCATCGTGGGGCGACTGACAGAGGTGATTGAGGAGCCTGATGCTGGCATTGCCCGATTCGCCCTGGAGGGCGTGCTCAAGGATGATAAGATGGGCCTCAAGTTCTTTGACACCAAGTATCTGGAGGTGACACTGACTGGCATAGACTGGGATTGCCCCTGTCCCAACATGACAGCTGGAGATGGGCCGCTGGTCATCATGGGGGAGGTGCATGACGGGGTGGCCGTGCTCCACCCCAGCAGCTATGTCAGGGCTGCCAGTGATAAGCGGGTAAAGAAAATCTTAGAGTTGATTGAGAAGAAGGCCTGTGAGCTGCTCAACCGTTTTCAGGACTGAGCCTGGGTATATGTGTGGGCACAGGTGTGATACATCCCTGAAGGGGTGAGTTCTGCCAGTCCCTGGCCCCTCCTAGAGCCCCACTCAGCCTGTGCTCTCCAGAGTAGGTGAATAAAAGGGGTTTTTCCTTCAAGTCCGTGTTACCCATCTGCCCTTTCCTGAGGAGAGGGACCCAAAATGGATCAGGGTCCCAGACACTCTGCTTAATGGCCTGGCCTGACCCTCCACTGCTTCCTTTAGCTGCTGTCTTGTGTGCACCCCCCTTCCCACAGCTGTACAAACACTACCTCCTCTCTCAAACATCACTAACTCCCAGACTCAGATTCTCAGTTGTTTGGGGCTTTGCTGTTCTTGGTCAATCCAACAGTCGCATTGCCCTCTAGGTCGCCCAGCGGGGGAAGAAGCCACACTAGGCCAGAGAGACAGCCACAGTCCTCTCCCATCACACGTCCATCAGGGAGCTGGTCCTTCCAGTCCCCCAGCCAGCTTCGAGGTTCACCTATGGTCACAGCCTGTGCAGCCCGGCTCTGAGTGATGCTTGGAGCTGTGGTCAGAATTCACCAGGGCCAGGTGGGAAGGGAAAGTGTCAGAGCTCGCTAGAAAGGAAACCTCCCTGGTCCCTGGCCTGACAAAGCAGAACCTTCATCTGGGCAACCCCAGGCCTGACCTCTCACTGGGGAAAGGGCAATGTCTACTCCTGGCAGTTAGCCAGGGGCATGTTTTTCTCTCCCTCATTGGGGCTCAGAGGTTAAGGAAGGGAAACCATTCCATCAGCTGTGGTTGCTGAGAGACAAGGCAAACAGGGCCCCTACAGAGGCCTCTCTGCCTGGGGTACTGGCCAGAAAGATGGGAGGGGAATGAACTGGGGGCCCAGAGGTGGCTGTTGCTTCAGAGAGAGTGGGGGTAGGGAGGAAAAGTCAGAGGGACAGAGCTCTTCCTGCAGATTCTAGAGAGCTCCGGGCATCTGAGAGGAAAGGTTTGCAGGGAAGGAAGGGAAGCAGGTCTCATTCACTACTTCCATACATTTGAGGCCCCACAAAGGAAGGGCGGCCCCATCCCCCCAAGGAGTCCCAATGCCTTCCCTCAACCAGGTTTATATGGGGGCATCTTCACCTCCCTGGCCTTTCTGCAGCAACAGCTGATTAACTAACTCACCCATCACTAGTGATGGGAACCCAGGTTCTAAGCTCCAGCTTTCCTGGCCCCTAGAGCTTTGGGAGGTAGGCCCCTTTTATTTATCAGCTTCCTTCCCCCACCCCCATCCCAAGTCCAGCAAGGCACAAGCAGTCACTTCTCACCATGGCCACCAGGGGGAGCTAAGACTCCACAGAGGGAGCACTGCTGAGTCTTGCTTAGGTCCCTTGGTCCCCATTCTTTGGAACAAGGGCACCGTGTACAAAGGTTTTCAGACAGTGGCTCTCTCCCACCCAAGAAGAAGGATGTGACCAGCCCAAACCACAGAATCATAGAACGTTGCAGCTGAGATCCTTTACTCCAACCCACTCAAGTTATGAACAGAAAAACTGAGGCCCATAAAATGTCACCAGGTAGGTCAATGACAGAGACAGAGCCTACCAAAAAACACAGATTTCATTCAAGGTGGCAAGGACGTACAACGAACAGCCTTGCCCCCCCCCAGACTCAAACTCTTGCCTCTCTCCATGCATGGAGGAAGATGAGAATGTCTTAGAAAGCATGCAGGGGGGTGAGGGAGAAGAAAGCCCTAGGCATGAGAATGAGGCCAGCCAAGAGCTGGGTGTGAGCTGCCAGTGCTTGACATTCAGCCCCAATTCTGTTCCTGCATTTGAGGACCCTGAAGAAACGTCCCTAAACATGCCACGCCTCTGAAAAGCTAGGACGTGCTCAGAAACGTTCCCCCATTGGCAGGGGAGAAGCCTATTAACTAGTTAAGCATCAGTTTCAGCCCAGATAGAAACATGAATTTTGCAGCTGCCAGTAGTGACCTGACACCTGGTCTTTCTGAAGCCCTGGAACTGTGTGGCAGCACAGTGGTAAAAGCCAGAATCCTCCCAAATGCGTGAGGAGTGGTAGTTGGGGGTCAGCAAGCTACTGTTTTCGGAAAATCAGGCATTTGTTGTTGGCTGGCATGTCAATCTGGAAAGAGAAGGGTGGGTAATAGAATGGAGATTCCCCTGGCCAGCTCACTACCCGCTCCTCCTGTCCCATGATGACCCTGGCAGGTGACGTGTAGCTGCTGTTACCTACAGGCAATGTAAACTCAGATGCATCTGTTGCCGGTTTCCAGGAACACCCAAACCAGAAGGAGAGGCGGGAAAATAGAAGGCCCAGTTCTATGCAGCACCAGCCCGAGTCAAGGCCCATATACTCCACAACCCAAATAGGTACCCATGATGGTTCCTACCATTTTCTCCAGGTACAGGCCACTGGCTTGAGCAAGCCGCTGCAAAACGGATACCTCCCGGAGCCCCCAGGCTGGGTTCCTGCAAACCATCATACAGGGTAAGGGAGGTGGAGTCAGTTCTTTGAGTTTCTCTTGTAAGTGAGCCTCCGACCCAACCCAGGAAGCAGAGACCTTGGTGGTCCACCCACCATCGCAGCACTCCCAGGGGTCCCGGTACCTGCGTCTGAGGCTGAGGTCAAAGTCCACATTGCTCTGTGGGGTGATCGTCCCATTGATGGCATAAGCCTGTCAAAAACATTGAGACACCCCCCACGGCCACATGGTTAAGAGTCAGTAGAATCCTGTCATCCTTCTGTAGGATCAGGCAATGGGAAGTTGAGGAAGAACTCTTGATCCCCTCTTTCCCCAAAGTAATCGGAACCTTCACAGAATCTGAGTCATGAGACCTCAAAGACCACACCTGGAAAAAAATTCCCTCTACAACACCCGTCCAGCTTCGGCATGAAGGCCTCCCAATGCAGGTAGCTTCCAACACTTCCAGGTAGCTCTAACTGCTTTCTGTTCTTCGTGTCCAACTCTCTGCGACTCCATCTGGGGTTTTCTTAGCAAAGATACTGGAGTGCTTTGCCATTTCCTTCTCTAGCTCATTTTACAGATGAGGAAATTGAGGCAAACTTGCCCAGGGTCACACAGCTAATAAGTGTCTGAGGCTGGATTTGAACTCAGGAAGACTCATCTTCCTGACTCTAAGCCCAGCACTCCATCCACTGCGCCCTCAGATGTTCCCCCCGCCCTTTCTCTAAGCCTAGATAAGTTTCTCTGCAACCTATGATTCCTTATTCTGCCATTCAGGGCTAAGCAGAACAAGTCCAACCTGTCATCTGCGGAAAAGCCCTTTAAAAACTTGAAAATGGTTATCATTTCTCCTTCCCAAAAGGTACCTTCTTTTTTTTTAGGCAATTGGGGTTAAGTGACTTGCCCAGGGTCACACAGCTAGTAAGTGTCAAGTGTTTGGTCTGAGGCTGGATTTGAACTCAGGTCCTCCTGACTTCAGGGCCGGTGCTCTATCCACTGCATCACCTAGCTGCCTCCCAAAAAGTACCTTCTTCTCCAGGCTTAAACATCCCCTAGTTCCTTCAACTAATCCTCATATGGCATGTGATATCCAGTCCTTTCGTCATCCTGGTAGGCTCCATTTTCTACCCTCCAGATTTTACTTATACTTAATTGGTACATAAGGAAAACCCCATGAGGGAACTCCTACCAGTGTAGGTTGGCATTTGATCTGCACCTTTCAGGCTTAAAGAGTTGTCTCTGGCACTGAGAGGTTGTGACCCAAACAGGATCATTCTGGCAGAGGCAGGATTTGAGGCCACGTCTCTACCCACTACATCATATTGCCTCTCTCTATAGATATACATCCATATTCTCCTTAAAATGTGATCCCAGAACTGAACATAGTTTTCCAGATGTGTTTTGACCGGGACTGAGTACTGCAGAACCATTGCCATCTTTCTGAGCACTCTACCTTTCAACGTAGCCTAGGAGAGTGATTTTTGTGGCTACCGAGCTGTGAAGACAATTCAAACCAAACCTGTAGTCTACAACATAAACCTGATCCGTCATGCCTCCCTACCCTCTACTTCTAAAGTTGATCTTTTGACTTGTGTAGGACTTTACATTTATTCCTTTTATTAAGCTTCAACTTATTCAATTCAGAGCATCATTCTCACCTGCTGAGATTTTTTTTTTTTTTACCAGTGCTGTCATCGACCATGTTAACCACCCCCTCTCATCTTCATGTCATGGGCAAATTTTACAACTAGCACAGGGCCAAAGACAGACTCCTGGGTCAGGACACTACAGATCTCCTTCCAAGTGGCCACTGATACCCTTGGCCTGCCCCCCAACCCACTTTCCTCCTGAGTTTCTGTAGAAGAAGCACATGGAATGGGTAATCAAAGAGAAGATGGGGCAGCAAGGGAGAGTCATTCCCACCAAGACAGAACTCAAGGCTTTGAGCAGCACTTACCCCATAGGTGATCAGCAAGCCATTAGGTTTCAGCAGCTGTCCAGCCCCTTTGAATAATCCCTAAGGAGGACAAGAGGGCTCTAAAACAGAGAAGTGTTGAGGAACCACCCCCAGACTGGGCATCTCCCACAGCCCCATTCAACAAAGAAGTCTCCCATGCTGAGCAGAAACTAGAATCCTACCGTTGACTGCCAGTAAGTCAGCCTCTTCCTCGCTCTGTGCCTCAGTTTCCCCAGCTACACAATGAAGCAATTGGACCTGCTGGTAGTTAAGGTCCTTTCTAGTTCTTAACATGTTAGCTTCTCTGTCCGAAGAGTGCTTCCAGCTCTGGGATTCTCTGTTCTGAGGTTCCCCCACAGCTTTGATAGTCTGTATGTCCTCTAAGCAGGACCCCACTCACCTCCATGCAGCTCACGGGGCTGATGTGAATCATATTAATACAGAGCACCAGGTCCAAAGACCTAGGCTGGATCCCTCCCCATTTTTCCCAGCTGCAGGAAGCATCCAGGAATATGGGTGGCCTCACGTTCTGAAGCTGCCAGTTCTTGATGAGAGCTGAAATGCTGGGGAGCAAGAGAAAACCCTGAGGTTGGGGAAGGGGAGGCCAGGAATCTGAGCCTCCAAACACTGCCCCTCCTATCCTGGATGACAAGGATCTGACAACCCCACAGGGTAAAGAGCCTCAATGGTTAATGATGCAAAAAATAACATTGGGACTGAGGGGGTCAAGAGACCTGGGTTCTAATTCAGACACTGCTACTAAGTACTAATTTACTGTGTAACCTTGGGCAAGCTGTTTCCTCTCTGACCTTCTCTTTCAACACTTGTAAAATGAAGAGGTTAAACTAGATCTAAGGCTTCTAGTTTTGAGGTCTTCGGGGATGGTGAGGGTAATACACTGAAACAGGAGGTTGGGAACGTATATCAGACTCTGGAATTTCCTCGGTCCCACCCAGCCTCAAAGGACTCATCCCTGACCTTCTCCTCTCCCAAGGGAGGTGTCCTGAGTCATCAATTTGAGACAGATTTGGACAAAAATTCTCCTGGCAAAAAATGTCCCCCACCCAGTATATACTGCTATGCCTGCAGAAAAAGGAATTTGGGCTGGGTTTTAGGGAACATTTAATATATCAAGGGCAGATAGGACCTGTTTGGAGTGAGGTGGGGAGGAGGGAAAGTGGAAGCGGGTGCAGAGGTGACAGAAGGGGCCCCGCCCTCCTCCTGAAGAAGAATAGAAAAGAACATTGTGTCCAGGACGGACAAAGGGATGGGCAACAAGACCGATCCCCTTCTGACCAGCTAAGAAGCCAAAGTGCATGGGGCACTATGGGAGACCCTACCTCATCCATCTCCTAAACTCCCCTCTTACCTGTCGAGGCTCTCCTGGTCCACCTCTGTGGGCTGCCACACTGCCTTGGGAAAAGCCTTCGAGAAATGGGCCACATGCTGACCTGAACCCGACGCTATCTCCAGGACCTGGAAATTGGCCTGGGCAGGATCTATGAACTGCTGCAGGACCCGGAGAATGGGGTCCTTGTTCCGCTCCGCTGCTGCTGCCACAAGCATCCTCTTGAGTGACTGATCTCCCCACCGCTTCCGAGAGCTGATCTCTTAGCCCGAAAGGCCTCCTGCCCTGATCTCGCCCTAATTCTCCCCTTTAACCTCTCCCTGACCTCCCCCCGCTTTGCCCCGATCTCTCCCTGGGCCCCTCCTTTACTGCTGATGCTCTGATTGATCTCTTATCCCTGATTCTACTTGTCCTGACCTTTGATGCTCCCCATAATCAGATTTCTCTCCTGTAATCTCTGATCGGGAAACCAACGAAACCCAGTACGAGGAGTGGGGAACTGACTGTCCGTGGTTCCCTGGATCCCTAAATTTCCTATCTCGGAGGGGTACAGGTCTGTCTGTTTCTGACCCCGCGAGTTGCCGGGTACGCTGGGATTTGTAGTCCTGCGGTCTCTCCACGCCCCTCCCCCCGCCCCAGGCAGAGAGTCACGTATGCCACCGGCTTGGGCTACGTAGCCAAGGCATTTCTGAGAAAGACTACAGTTCCCAGAAGACTACGGGCATCGCCAACCACCAATTAAAGGGCCCACACCCACAACACTCCCACACCACCCCACGCTCGTGCTCTCAACATCTTACGGAGGAAATTGCGACTCATAACCCACCGGAGGGAGGTCGCAGTGTACCCATGTTTCCCCAGCCTGAAGTATTTTTAACCACGTCTTCGCGTACAGAGGGAGTGTATTCAACGTGAACCTCACTCTAGAAGGATAATTTTAAGTAAATAAAATTAGAAGAAACTTTCCGTGCTACTCTTGTTGGAAAGAACAGTTTTTAAAGAAAAATAAATAATTTAACGAGTTAAAAAATAACGTGCGCCGCCCGGGAATCGAACCCGGGTCGCAAGAATGGGAATCTTGCATGATACCACTACACCAGCGGCGCTGTTGTCTGTGACCTTGCCTCGAAACCTGAAGAGGTTACAGGGAGGGACTTCTGTGGCAACGCGCCTGCGCGCTCTGAGGTAACCTTTAGCAACTTTAGCAACTTGCCCTGGCTCAGTAGGACCCGGATGACGTGGGTGAGTGTGGGAGCGTTTGGAAAGAGCTGCTGTTGGGACTGAAGAGAGATGGGGGAGGAGGGGTGCCTGCACGGGCTCATTATGCAAAGGACACTGTGAGCTCTTGGAGGGCATGGACTTGGTCTTTCCTACTGTTCATTAATGCTCAGATTTGGGGCTGATAAAGTCCCCCAAAAGTTTAAGATGTGGATAGTTTTGATTAAATTTAAAAAGTTTTGCACAAACAAACCCAATACAACCAAGATTAGGAGAACAGAAAGCTGAGAAACATTTTTTACAGCCAGTGTTTCTGATAAAGGCCTTAGTTCTAAAATAAATAGAGAAGTGAGTCAAATTTTAAGAATACAACGTATCAGGGCAGCCAAGTGGTGCAGTGAATAGAGCATTCTCCTTGGAGTCAGGAGGACCCGGGTTCGAACCCAGCCTAAGACACATAATTCTGGGCAAGTCACGTAACCTTTAAAAAAAAAAAAAAGTGCGAATCATTTACTAATCGAAAAAGTCTCAAAGCCTACGAAAAGGCAGTCTTCAGATGAAGAAAGAACTTCAGAAGAAACTACCTACAGTCGAATTTAAAAAATGCTCTGCTGCTGATTGAGAATTGCAAATGGAAAACAACTCTCAGGTACTGTTGGGTGAGATCCCTCAAAGACTGGAGTATAGCACTGGGTCTTCTGGAAAGAATTCACAGACTCAAGCATTCAAGGTGGCAAAGACTTATTGTTAGGCTTTTCAGCGGGCAAGGATTCTTAAGGAACCTGCAAGAGACTGAGGATGGAGCTAGGGTTTATATGGAAAAGGGCATGGGAAAGGAATGCCAGAGACACTGATGAGGTAATCCAAAGGTGCAGTTGTCTTTGGGAGCTATGGATGGGAAAGTGACAGGGAGGGAGATATGTCAGAGGCATGGATCATCTTGGGAGTCTGGCAGGAAGAAAAGTCCTTGGGCCAGCCAAGGACAAAACTTCTTGAGCAAGACAAGGCATCCCTCTCTCTCTCTGTCCTGATTAGAGAATGCTCTGCAACAAGGAAAAGCTTTCTCACAAGACAGGGGCTTACTAAGGAATTGGGAGGCTTCCAGAGACACAATCTTAGAGCTGAGGGCAGCCCAGCACTCTCTCACCCAGCTTTGTGTGTAGCTGGACCAGGAAGAGACATAAGGGTCCTGCTGGGGCCCATGCATGAATAATTGCTAGGCACAGTGTCCTTGGGCTGGGGAGTGATTGTCAGAAACAGTGTTTCTGAGACTAGGGAGAAATTGGGGTCCAAGTACAAGCACAAGCACCCAAACACAAGCACCCAAGCACCCCATCAGTACCGTCTCACACCTATCAGATTGGTTAATATGACAGAAATAAGCCAATTATTATTGGGTTAATATGACAGAAAAGAGAAATGATAAATGTTGGAGAAGATGTGGGAAAATCAGAACACTAACGCATTGTTGGTAGAGTTGTGAGCTCTGGAGAGCAATTTGGAACTGTGCATACCCTTTGATCCAGCAATACCACTACTATGTCTGTATCCCAAAGAGATTCTAAAAAATGTACACATATACATGTACAAAAACATTTATAGCAACTCTTTTTGTGGGTGGCAAAGAATTGGAAATTGAGGGGCTGTCCATCAATTGGGGAATGACTGAATAAGTTGTAGTATATGAATGTAATGGAATACTCTTGTGCTATAAGAAATGATGAACAGGCAGACTTCAGAAAAACTTCAGGAAAGACTTATATGAACTGATGCTGAGTGAAGTGAACAGAACCAGAAGAACATTGTACACAGTAATAGCCACACTGTGTGATGATTGACTTAGATAGACATGGTTCTTCAGCAGCAATACAGTGATCCAAGACAATTCCAAAAGACTCATGATGGAAAATGCTATTCACATCCAGAGAAAGAACTATGGAGTCTGAATGCAGATCCAAACATACTATTTTCACTCTTTTTTTGTT